TACAACTATAAATAACATGGTGATGATTTAGTCATTATTTCCTGAAATATATGGCCTTAAAAGAAAAAAAGTGCTTTCATCTTCTTTGGGCCCTATAGCTTTGGGTGGGTATGGGGTTTTTTTGTTTGTTTCATTTAGGGGTTTGTTTGGGTTTTTTTAATAACATAATGTCCTTTTGGGTGCTACTTGATGCTGTGGCCTCTAAGCTCTCAATACAATACACAAAACAATGCAAAATTAGCTTGCAAAAGATGAAGTGCAAGGTTAAGCGGAAAAAAAAAGCAATATTTTTGTGTTGTGTGGTTTTTTTCATATAGATTAGAGATAGGTAGATATAGATAGAGATATCTATCTATATATATATATGTATATATATAAAAATTATCTTTATAGATTTAAAAAGAAAGTACTATTTGAATACTCTTATTAGTGATATTTAGAAACATGAAAATACAGGGTAAGAAACATTACCTACTGTCTCTGTTAAATGCCATAGCTTATTGGTTCTTCTTTGTTGTCCCTGTGTGTACAGACGTCACTGTCGCCTAGCAATTGATGAGCTGCTTACTCAGTAGTGGAAGGGCATATGCATACAAAGAGGTCTCTGATTTATAGCTAGATACATGTAATACATTAATCAGTTACAAGATGTGTAGCTTATTATGAGCTTATAACAATCACCTAAGAGCACTCAACTTGTCTGGCTTTTTAAAAGTTACAAGTTTTCTTTAAGAACGTGCATCTTGGAAAAGAGACATTTTCTCCCCATCAGGAAGCATTGAGCAAATGAGCACTACCCTTGTAACTGTGCTTAGTTGTTAATTTTGGAATTTCCAGTCTCTACAGACAATTACTTCAAGAATTGTTTTTCACCATTAGGGATGTATTCTATTTCTCTTACAGCCTGACCGACCATCCTTTCCCAGCTCAGGAATCAATCATCCCATTTCTCCTCTGTACGCCTTCCAGACTCTTCCAGAACCAGCACACAACAAAAATGTCAGTTCACAATGTCCAGTACCAAAGGCAGGCACTTTGACTTTTCTGTTTGTGTAGGAATGTGATAGCCTAACTCAGCAAAGCTCAGTGTTTTGAATATTTCTTAAAACACAGGAATATTTGCTGTATATCCTAGTACTCTGTCCCTGTCTTGAACATTATCACTATTAGTAATAGCTAATGCTTGGTTTCAGGTTGCTTATTCTTGCATGCTTTGCTGCACAGAAGTGCTATGCAAGGTATAGAACAGTAATCCCCGAGAAGTTCACTCTCTGCATACACTTACTGGGGGATCAGCTTTCTTTAACCTGCCACTCTTCCTGTTTCTGCAGATTCAGTTTAACACCCAGCTTTCTAAAATGAATCGATGTTCAGATGTTCAGACAGTGACTGCAACTAGTCATCCAGCAAATAAGGAGAAGTAAGTGTCATCTATTGCATTTTTAGTCTTTGGGTTTTATTATTTCTATGAAGCCATTTGTCTTCTCTGAGTACTGGAACTGAGCAAAACATTTCTAGTACCAAGCTAGTTCTGTGCTCTGCCTTTCTCCATCAACATGTTAATTAATTTTAATTTATGGCAGACTGAACTGGTCACTAAGCATGGATTGTAGATAACAAATGAAGAGCCATGCTTTCAAGAGTGGGTTCCAAGGAACAAAAAGGTCATTGTCCCTCCTGGTGACAGAGCTAAGCCTATCAGGTGATGGGGCAGTCAAAAAAATTAGTTCTAGACTGTTCTTAACCTACTCAGTGGTGGTTTACCTTTAACTGAAGAAGTTCACAGGAACACAGTAGTTCCACTTCAAGTTAAGGTTTTCCTGAATGAGTCTGTAACAACACTTGCTGTTAATGCACTGCTAACTAAGTACATTTGCTTTAAACTTTAATTAGCCTTTTTTTATTTCTAGTGGTGAGAATTTGGGACTGGACTCAAAGTATTTCAAGAAAAAAGATGACAGCATTCCTTTACGAGGGCTTAGTCAGAATACACTTAACTCAGGTACGTGCAGAAATAGTAAAACAAGACCTGATTTGAAATGTACTTAAAGGGTAATAATAGTTATGGTTCTATGAACAGTGTCTTGTTTCTGCTGTTCTACAGAGTATCTGAAACCCTACTTACCAACAAAAGCCCAGCCGTCACCCAAAGCTGCAGTAACACCAGCCTCAGCTTACTTTCCTGGATAGTAGACGGGGCTCTTAAAGTAAGAGCCCTCTTTTAACCATTTGGGGGATTTTTTTTAAGTCCTGTAATAATGTTTTTATTAGCAAAGTATCGATGTGAACTGACATAATTTTCTAAGTCTGGATCTGTTTTCTTTGAGAAAGGTATCGGGACTGACTTGCATGACTTATCAAGAAAAGATAAATTTTTATGGAGCCTCAGCCTTAGTAGGAACAGTGCCACTAAGGGGCTTCTCTAAGAATACTTAGATGGTGCAAATAGAAAGTGCTGGAAAACAGGGCGATGCTGTCAATTTTAATAATGGTCAAGCTCATAAGTTAGCATGGCTGCCTCATTAATCCTCCCTTAAAGTTTTAATTTTCAAAACTTACTTTGTTTTGGAACCAGCTTATTTGGATTGCATATAGACTTACAGATATATTTATTATTAAAGACACTAAATTATTTCACTGAAGGTACGAAATAAGAATTTTAAATTCTCACTCTTGGTTACCCAGCTTTTCTATTAATCTGTCAATATTATATTCCACAGGCCACTATGCACAGAACATTGTAAGGTAAAGTATCTGAAGAGTTAACTGTTGAAAGTATCACATCATGTAAAAGCCACCTTATTTTTACCCATCATACTTTACAACTGCAAGATTGTACAGAAATTTAAGATACTCTTAACACTCCAGTTTAGGTGGACTGAGTCTGTGCAGATTGTTCCACTACCTGGGCACAAATGCTAGAATCATGTCTCAACTTAATTCTGTGCCATCTTCCATTTGGTGTTCCAAGAAAGAATGGGCTTGCAAGTACTTGTAACATACAAAATGTATTTTTAAAATATTTCTGTTGTTAAAGCTACTTCCTACCTTTTACCTTAGTTACCTAAGTACAGCCAGAGGATTGTATATTGAAGTGGTTTGTTTTGCAGTGCAAAATGTGTATATTTGTTTATAAATCAGCACCACGTTAATGTATAGTCACTTGTTTTGGCATATGTCAATTTCAATGGAACTATTAAATGGTTTTTATCAAAAACTCTCATTAGTAGTGTTTTAAGAATATTAGTCATCCTCACTGCTGTACTGACAATCCAAGATGAGGTAAGTGCCAGAACAGTACTATTTCATTCACCTTACCTTTTTCTGGAGTTTTCTTTCCAGCTAATTCCCCCCAGGGCGGTGCTTCTGGAGCAGCACTGTGATGCACATACAGTCCCCAGACGGCAGCCACTCCACTCTAAGGTCTGTGCTTATGCTACTAGTTCTAGTTAAGTTTTAGTAGGTGTAAATTAATGTGGATTTGAGCTATTTCTCTTGAAGTATAGATAAGCTGCTATTGAACAGGAAGGTGGTAATCAAAATGCAGTAGCTGTCCAGATCTCCAGTCCTATGCAAATCCAGAATGAAACAAAACTGTAGCTGAGTGTGCCTGGGAAGACAAACAGACAGCATTGCAGCACAGGGAGGCAGGAGCTGCAGCGTGGAACTGCAGGGTACTCGAGGCTGAGTGAGGGTCGTTGCTGCCGACCCCTTTCTCAGAGCAGGTAGCCATGGCACCCCTGTTCCCTTAGATCCAGCAGGAAACAAGCAGCCAGCTGCTGCCAGCCTGTGCTGCTGAACAAAAGGGGGCACAGCAACATGCTCCAGGAAACCTCATC